GGAGTTTAAGAATATTTCAGAGGTAAACGTTGCCACACTACACAGCACTACAACCTACAAGACAGCAATCTAAATTCAAATTAGTGATTGGACATTTAAATTTTCGACAATAGGATATTATTGTTACTACGATTGTGAGAATTAAATTTGTTCTTTAAGGATTATTGAAATATTTAAATGCCACTATTTTTCATAAAACTACACATTTCAATTAAATTTAATTTTAAGAAACGTATATTATTATATCATCTTCTATTCAGAGAACACCACAAATTACAAACCACGTCATTGGTCAGTCCATGTGTTGCTCTCTCCTTCTAAGATTCAGATAATATCAGATTCTTTTTTATAAAAGCATATCTATCTATATTATCCCTTGTTGTGACAGACCAACACTTACACATGTTTTACATAAATCCCAGAAAAAAATTATGTAGTTTTTAAAATAAAAAAATCTGTACTTACTAAAGACAAGTATGGTGTTATTAGACACCATACTTGCTTGTTTGTAAACAAAAATGATTTACCTCATATATAGAAGTAATTTGAAGTTCGTAGAATACAGGTAGATAAAAGTAATTGTTTAAAATTCCAACAAATGGGGCACAAAAACAACTCAACCAGAAGAGTGTTCCGTAGTTGTAGATTTCCGATGGGTCTCCCATCACCGTGATTCCAGACACTAGGCTGAAAAATAGCACAGTATTTTGTCATCATATTTATAACGATTCATTCCTTTTATTTATTTTAAACGCCATTCATAATTTTGATATAAGTGTATGGAAGATATTTCAAAACAAGGTTTATACACGTTTATGTAACTTCGGTTCATAATTTAGTCAAGTGTATATATACATATAAATTTTTAATGTTCTGGGAAAACTTAGCAAATTTTATTCTATTTTAATTGCGTCAATATATATGGTGATTCCACTGAGAATATTGACTTAATAATTACACAATTTACAATTCAGGGATTTATTCCTGCTTACAGTTTACAATGACACAGACTACATCTCCGTTAAATTTGCCTCATAACACACAAAGGCTCACATTTATCTTATTTTTACAGGCCTAATTGTTAAGATATGATAAAATCTTGTATTAGTAAGTTTTAGCATATTTATCATGTGACCGCAAGGAATTCAATAGTATATTGGTTTTCGTTTTCGAACAAGAGTATAAATATAACTTTAATGAATCTACAAAATATGTATTTTAATAAGATTTTCAAACTTTTTTCAAAAATACCCATAACCACACAAAATTTTAGAAACCTGTTCAGAACCCAGTTAGAGTTAAAATTTTCATTCTCTCCTCATTGTTGTTCAGGGCCAATATATCGGCAAGAAAGTAGAACTGCAAAGGTATTTAAGCTTACAGTTACGGTTTTCATATGTTATAATTAAAATCGGTCAGTTCAAAAAATATCAGATATATTTTCGTGATATTACGAGTCTTTTATTGGTTTTAAAACTATGAGAAGTAGACTACAAATTTGTCTCAATAGGAAGTAGGCCCGTATATAGTACATAATATTGCTTGCAACATAACCTTGTGTTTCCTTGAAATTTACGAACTTACTTTGATAGAAATACGAGTTAAACTTAATAAGGAAGATTGCATTTATGTCTTGAAATAACGGAATCATTTTAACTGCTCAAAAAAATTTGAATTTATGTTTTCCACGAGAGTTTAGTAAGAATCAATAACGCAAGCTAAAGACACTTCGAAAATATTGTAAAGCTCTCTAAATCAATTGTCTTTAAATTGCGAAACATGAAACGCTTTACTTTTCTGAATATAAATTAAATTCTTAGATAAATAGACCAAGGAGCAGGCGATTTCATCACACAGGTAGTGGACTTTAAAGTCGTGGATTTTAGTGAGCATTTAGTTATCAATCTGGTATCATATTTCTTCTCTTATTTCGGAGGTGCAGGCCAATTTAATTTCCTGTTTCGATTTGTATTCATAAATGTGTATGAGGAATATAAATTATTATAACTTCTAACAAATTAAATATTTTACAAAGAAAATACTTTTCAGAGACTCTGACTTATATTATTATTTTTAAATGACTGCTCGTGTATTCTCTGTTCATTATTTCTTCTTCTGAACAATTTAGAAGATTTTATTTTAAGTTGGATATATTCTAGCCGCATTACCTGTGTATAATGGTAAGAATATTACGCTCTTAAAGGATATCGTCTGTAGAATGTAACGTTATTTTACCAGGAAAAATTAAATATCTCGTAATTTTTAAATTAATTTCTTAAATAGACAGTGCTGAGTGCCCAACGAACATTTTACTGACAAGCGTTTAATGATTTATTTAAAAATTTACTGTTGGAAACTTATTTTGTATGTTCATTTTCATCCCTCATTTCAGGTTCCTAAATTACAGAGAAATATCAGTGTGAATTACGTATGTCATTTGTAAAAATCTAGTATTACTAGATTTCTGCACTTTGTCCATATTCCGCACTCTTATCAATGAAGTTCAAAGTCGAAAAAACCAATATTAAATAATTGTTACCCTTAGTAATAATTGTATTATTAATATATAGTTGACGTATCTTACTTTGAAAACGCTATTAATCAGAACGTTCTTTTCTAAATTGGATGATAAATACTGCAGGTTGTTTTAGTGGCAATAGCCAATATCTTGTTTAAGTTTTGCACTGTGTCATGGACTGAATTCTAATGACTAATTCAATTCTCTGCCGCTACTTACTGTACATCTGTGTTACTACGTTCTTTTAAATTTTTTATATATATATATTCAACGTGTTAATTTCGTGAAATAAACTTTCCTAAACTTTTTTAACTCCCTGATATGTTACAAGCATTTAAGTATGTAAATATTTTTGAATGAATTAGAACTTTAGTTATTCTTATTTCGTAAACTTCAAAGATGGTGCACTCACCTGGCTACGAGCGATACAGCTACTGGCAGCGTATTCATCGTTTTCCCCCCGAGCAAGTACTCCTGAGGAGAATCTTCTTTCTTACCCCAGAAACCGAAGTAGACGCCAATCAATGTCGACAGTGCCAACATAAGTATGAAGAAGCAAATGTCGAGCCAGCCGAAGAGAAGTCTAGTCGCGTCTTCTGTAGTATCCATGGTGAAATTCATTTTCACGCTGCAAAATGACCTCGAGATAAGTTAATTTTAGATCCCTCAAGAAGCATTTATGCTAATTGTTTTTTTGTCTTCATTAAAATGGTGTTTTGATATAAATAATTCTGGCAGATATGCAGTATATCTTTTTCTTCCTTTAAATTAGTTCATTGTACTCCAAAAATTGAGCATTGAAAAATATTGTTCAGTTCATATTAAAATCACAATTGGGGCTTAAAGAATATCCTGCTTAACCCTGATTCAGATTTACTCTCAGTCCTTAAGGAATGAGGTACGAGGAAAGGCTAAAATGGATCGCAGTGACGCGATGTTGGAGGTGAAGATAAAGCAGGAGAGGTAATGATTACAAGATTACTACTTATCTTGACTGAAGAAATCCTTTAATCCTTATGTTGCACCGTTATACATAACACACAGTGGGGAATAAATCGTATTATGTGTGATTTGAGGTTCTCACGGCCGTAAATCGGAAGATGGCTGTCTTCTGGGTTGTTTCGCCGTCTATTCTGATAGTAGTTTAAAGACGTTTTCAGACATGCTTGCTACCGCTCTGAATATTGGGGCTGCAAGCACATCTAAAATATCTGTACAGTTCTACCAGGCTACACCGAGTAACAAGGCGTCTGACGAACTAGTTGTATGTGTGTAAGTGATCGCATTTTGTCGAAATTAGTGTTTTTGGTTTCTATTTTTTTTTTCCATGGTATTGTGACAATTGCATCAAAGACATCAGAATGAAATTAGAATATATGTTTATCAGGTAAGAATATATTGCTCTCAGTTGTATCTAAGAAGTAACACAAACTTCGTGATAAAAATCTATGGCAACAGAAGTGAAATCTGAGGAAAGTTTTAGTCTAATTAACTTTCTACTACACTTTCCAAACGTGTTATTTGCTCTTTTACGTAATCAAATTTAGACCGGCTGTTTGTTTATTACAAATACATTTCGCTCGGAATTGATAAACTGCAAAAGTAGTTGTGCATTTTTTGAGACGTAAAATTTCTTTTGTATTTTGTTAAACATTCACTTTACGATAAATATTTTATATGAAATTTGTAAGTCATTATATTATTGAGATCTGTAGTTCGTAATCCTATTGCTGTATTATTCGCGTTTTATAAAGTGTACAAATTTGTGCGTTACGTATAGATGTAGATTTTACAATAAACCGATGAAGAGTAATATAAAATTAACCATAAATGTTGATATGAAATACTAATATTAATCGAAATCAGTAGGGTAGCTTTCAGTTTCTCTGTCTTTTTGAATCCGATAATACATAAAAATTTCACACGAACTTCAACATTTGTCTCTGTCGTAAGTAAGATAAATTCGATTCACTGAATTTAACTGTATTATTTTAAAAACCGTCTTATATACCCCTCAGGTTTTAGAACAAAAATTTGAATGTTCTTCTCATCTCTCCTATACATTCATAAGCTCTGCGTATCTCATCGTACTTTGGTCGCCCTTATAATATTTGGTGAACAGTAAAATTTAAGTTTTCTTTTATTTTCTCTCTTACGCCCGCCCTGTCCTCAGAACTATCAGTAATATTTCCTTCATTTAAAATACGAATTACCACAGCCATACAAAACAAATTTGAAGTTATAGTATGTAATTTTAATCCTACGTGTGTGGATATCAAATAAAAAGACAAAACAGATTACGAATTTCATGGTAATGAATACTTCGCGAGTTTAATTATGTCTTAATCTAATCGCGAACTCGTAACTGATTATAATTTGTACATTAAATTTGACGTTTCTACTGCGGTAAGATTGTAGATTGTGGTTTTATGGGCTATGATAACGTATATAGTTTTGTAGATGGCTACAAATATTTAAGGAGAACATTTAGTTTCTACCATGAAGATGGAGGCGACACGTTAAAATTAACTGTAAGACTACAGTGTCACAACCCATAATTCTAAAATTCATACTGATATATTAATGTAATCCCAATTATTTGAAGTTTATTAGAATTTTGAAGGATTTTATAAGCTTATTATTTCGTCTGTAATGGTTTTGCCCTGCACTCTGGAGAGGATCCGTGAAGTAATCTCTAAGTTACCTGTTTGAGACTGAAAATTATTCTTATAGATAAGAAACTAAGTATTCCAGTCTAGGAAGCGACAATGTGACACTGACACTGATAGAATTGAGACTCTTGTTAATTTTTATGTAGAAAAAATGTGAAATGTGAAAGATAAGGTTCCATTGTTTTGACAGTCATCCTGTGTATTAGGGAGATACATTTTATTATTGTTGAGACACATAACTTCATGTCAATGTTTATCCTGCGATTGAGAGTTAATGCAGTAGATCTCAGAGCAAGTAATTATGTACAAGGTTTTGTGACACCACATGATGACTAATCATTTTTAGCGGTCATATATTATTTAGCTTATTTTATGTTACACAATAACGGTTCATAAATTTTGCGTCGTAGCTGCTTGTTTAAAACCCATTAAAGCCCAGTTTGTGGTATGTGATATATGTAGGCTTACCACATACTTTAACATTTATTAACCCTGAATTTCTTCCTCAGATTGTACATATGATTTCATATGATTTTTAATATAAACAGTAGTATTCCATAAAAAACCCAGAAATATATCCTGTTGTTTTCTTTTGAGTAAGAACTAAGTGTTTAAATATTATTTAGTTGAACAGTTGAAAGTTTTAAAGAGTTAAATAAAACAATTTTTTGTTAATGGTTCTATTAAATACTGTCGACTAAAAACGTCGATTATGGATTGGATCATTGGTTATCACTTTATTGTTAGAAATATGACAGTTTTTGTTGGTAATATGTAATTATTTAAACTGCAGTGGTTATGTAACGTGAAACCAAAATTACACGAAACTGTGAGGGATGAGTTGCGAATGATATAGAAAGAAGACTTTATGGTGCATTCCTGGAATTCACACCGCGGAGGCCAGGGTTTGCTCCCAGAACAGTTAATGTGAAATTTGCAGTGGATAAAGTGGCGATTGAGCGGGTTTTTCTCGGGGTCCTTCAGGTTTCCGTTCAGTATTATTCGACCGATACTCCATGTTCTGTTCTGTATTATCTGATATATAGATATTGGATCTGTTATCGGCCGCATTTCACAGAGACATATTCTTATAATCTCACTGCTCAAATGCGTATATGTAGGAACTGAATTCAGAATAACGCTACTGAATTAGTCTTTCTCCTTTAACGACAGAGTTGTTAAATGAACCAAGAAATAAATAAATACGTAAGTGTTAATAGGTCTACTCAGTTTTGATCCGGCATATAAGTGTTGTAGTTTGAATATCAATATAATGAGACGAGTTGTTTTATGATGTCTATTTGTTAGGTAGAACCTGTAGATCAGTTTAACACCACATGCTAATTTCTATTCTGTTGCTGGTGGTAGGCCTCCGGCACTCTTGTCAACACGTAGCACATCACACATCACAACCAACTTTCACCACACAGTAGGCTAACGTTACTACGTACTCTGCCGTCAAAACCTTCGACCTTCATGGTAATAGAATGCCATTATAAATTACTTATGTTATCTATTTTGTTTGCTTTCTACCGAATGATCATTATTAGGTAGAATGAATAAGCAGTTCGCAAACATTGTAAATATAATCTCGATGTTGATATGTCATGGTCACCTAGAGTAAGACAGCTGAACACCAATGCTATTTCGATTTCGAAATCTCAGACTGTTTCTCATTTTATCTGACTAATTTTTGATAACACTCGTTTATGCATTAATTTAATGCAAATTACATTCGCAATTTAATACATAAATTTGAACTTGGGTAGAGATATGTATAAAAAGACTATATACAAATGTATTTTTAATATTATAGTTTCTTATTCCGTAATTTAATTTGTCTATCAGAATCCTATAAACTATTTTTGATAATACCCAAGTAATGTAATACATAATATTTTCCAAGAATGCCCTCTATAACCAAGCATGCATTTTAATTTCCATTATTTAAACTGGTCATTTTATCTTGATACCAGAACAATACAGCACTGATATAACAGAGACAGTTTGAAACGCTTCTAGCCGATACAAGTCATGTAAGGTTTATGTAAGTGTAATAGAAGCTGTTTGGTCACACTGTGATAAAAGCATTCAACTAATCCAATTACCACATGCTTTTATGATTTATAACTCCAGAAATTTCGATACATTTCATACAAAATTATTGAATTATGTTGTGCTCAGAAAAACATTTTATGCCTTTCCATATGAATATTCCTAAAACAGCGGGATTTTAGTAGTGACTGCCTGCTTTCCGGGCATCTTAAAACATCCAAAGAATGCAGGTGTTTAGGATCTGTACTTAATGTTGAATAGAAAATAACTCTTTCAGAATTATCCATTGCAGATTTTATGCACAGACGAAAGCTGTATTTCAGGTTATCTGCTTTATATTTCATGGACACTTCTTACATTTATGATTGAAAATTCGATCTAATATTTCTCTTAGTCCCGCTTTTTTGACGTAAATACGTCTATATGGAAGGGTCAGTGTCATTCCGCAAAAGAGTGTAAGAAAAATGTGTAAGATGGTTACCTAGCAAATATCTACAATTTGTAAATATGGACTGACAACAATGGTCAGCTTTCATGCATTGTTATGTTACCTAGGAAACGTCATATGTTTACACTGCATTGTTGTGTTTCATTACTGCCGTCAACAATTCGCTTTCGTTATTGCGGAAAGAGCTGTGCTGTGATTCGCTTTTAGAAGAAGTGCGTCGTGGAGTAGATAATTTTGTGCTGGTAAAAACGTTTTACAATATCACAAGTACTTATCTTATATAATAATTATTAAGAAATCTACTTTTGCGTTAATTTGTTGCGTCATACTATGTACAAGATGGATGACATTGAAGCTAAAAGATTTCATAACGCAGAATATATGAGACAGTACAGAAATAGTAAAAAAATAGAAGTATTAAATAATGAACTTAAGTTCGCAAAAAAACCCAAAAACTAATGCCTCACGAGAGACAAAAGTGTAGAAAAACACTGAAACAGATGGAACAAGGAAATCTCGATGATAACTCTACTGATATATGGTATGATAATATTATACAAAAATATGAAAATCGTCCTATTGATTCAATGGAAAATGTTGAGCTGGCAGGCTTTGCAGCAATGTATACGGCAAGTACAGATGGAACGTACAAATTCAGAGATGTCCCTAGAATCATCCGATATACTAATTACGATATCAGTGACTTTTATATGGACTTCTGCATACATTGTTATGTTACCTAAGAAACTAGTTGTTACGTCATCTGTTTACTTGGAAAATCAAAGCTTTGTCACATTTATGGAGGAAACATTTGGCTTAATGTTGATGTCAAATCCTCAATGTAGTACTACTAGATCAAAATCTTATATAGATATGGTGTTTGCACGAAATGTTGATATTCTAAAATGTAAAAATTTTGAGATATTTCACCTACCACAGACCCATCTTTAGCGTAACTAATTCAGGTTAAATAAGCATTGTCTTAATCAAAATTTACTGAATTGTAAAGCATGTATAAAGGAAATATTTAGAATAAAGCCAGTATATAAACTTCCTTTCCGTATAGACGTATTTACGTCAAATTCTCCGGAACCGTGGTTCCACTATCACTATTTTTTTATTATATTTGATAGATTTTCTTAGCTATTCACAAAGCGTTCGCTATGCCACAGCCTGGTCTGAAAATATCTACTAATATTTTCACCCATGAAATAAAATAAACAACAAGATAAATATATATAATAAGCAGCTTCATACGTTGCATTAATCATCAGTCCGTTATTATGGTGATGAAATTAAGATGACGGCGTTGGTTGCACTTCTACGATGCATAAAAATGATGATAAATTCAAACAAAATTGTAAGTTTATTAAAAGAAACGTTACTTGCGATATATGGACAAGACATGATGATATTGAAAAAAATTGAAAGAAATGGGGTGTTAGAATTTTGAAGTTATGAAGTAGATGAAGATGAAGTCCGGTGGTGGGCTGTGCTTAAAACGGAACTAAACCATAAAATATGCGGAGTTTCTTGACTAGCTTGGCTACTACCTTCTTCTTAAGAACTCTACTGCACTTATGACACAGAAAAGGCATTCGCAATTGTTGCTTCTGTTGATATGGGTAATTGATATTTCATTATAAGAGAAGGAAATATAATGTTATGACAGATTCCTGTATCAATAAATGCTTTACTCATCTTCTTGTCCTAAAGAGGAGTCTAATACATGGCCATGAATAGAAACATGCACAAATCTCAATTGTAAAGCGACGTATATCACGTGAAGTCAGTAGAATAATATTAAATCCCGATATATTCACCTATGTTATGTTCTGAGGTAGTCACATTACTTGGCTTTCATCACAGGATGCCGTGAAGTGTTTTCAGGAATTTTTATAATTAGAACAAGAGCCCCCAGTGTGGGGCGGCATAGATTCCCGTACTATAATCGGTTTCAGTACGAATTTGTTTGGAAGTGCTGATTATGCATATATTATTTTAAATTATTTTATACCACAATATTAATCAAATATTTAATATATTGTGACCAACATTATGAGTGGTACCGTGCCTTCCTTTAACTCAACACATCTTTACGTCTTTTTTAATATTGTTACTTAGTACCTCTTTTGTCGATAATTTATTATTAAAAATACCTATATGAATGAAAAAATAAATAAGTGGATTGAAAGAATAGACTGTGTATATAATGGTAGCTACTCTAAGTCTGCATTATTGAAAAATGGTACCAAAACCTTTAACTCACCTCCTTTTAACAATTTGTGTTGTTATGGATCTTGTAAAGGTCCAGCATCTTGCAGGACGTAACACTTATTTGATGTCCGGAGCAGTGTTATTTTTTATGCAGCACATTTCAAATTCAACAACCACTTTGATCGCAAATGGCTTCGCTGTTGCCGACGCCTTCAAGACTCGCTTTCTTGTAGTTAATTCACTTGACGTGTCAAGGCCAATATAACGTTTGTAGTTGATTGCAAGATTGTTCTGTCCTTTGAAGAGATATTTGAGGAGGAGGACAAGTTGTGTGATTGTAAAATTACACCTATTACGGCTAAACAAAATAAATGTGCTACAGACCATAGACCGATAACTGAAGTCCTCGTTTTGCTCCCAGAAACTCGACGGTTATACGTCGCATGTTATGGTTATCATTCCAAAATCGTATTATGGAGGTCCGGGGTTCGATAATTTAACTGCAGACTGATTATCATGACTAAGGGTTTTCGTTGTTGTTTTTCAAGTCTTTACACGAATTACAAGGCACTGCCATGATTTAATTCAATGTAATCGAACCAAAACCTATACCTGCTCAGGTTTCAAAGATTAATTATTCATCTGATTCGATAGAAGACGAGAAAACAGAAGGGAAGGGAAGAAAAATGAACATCAGTTGAAAACATTCTTGAAATAAATACAAAACCAAAGGCAACCTATGACGAAGGATTTTGTTCTGTGTGTTTGTATATTTGGGAGGCATTCAGTCGGCATTTTAACTGCATTTGGCTAATACATTTTTATTGTTGGTATTCATTTCAAAGGAAATCTTCACGTAGGCACTCAGATAACTGCTGAGGTCATTGTACACCCCTGATCTTGTTAGGGGCCGTTTAATAGGACTGACCGCGCTGCTAGATCCAGAACCGACCTGATTCGGGTCTTCCGAATTTCCATCGGCTCTAGTCATGCAGAACCCAAGATCGTTAGTCTATGCCCTGCTTTATAGTTTGTTACATTTTTTGGGGACAGTCTTGAACCAATGGTGGTAGGTCTCTATACAGATCAGCCTGCCCTCATTAATTTTATACACTGTTTTCTAATATAGCCTAACGTGTCTGCTGTTTAATTCTACAAACTGGCAAAAACCGAAGCTATCTAAATTAATTTCGTTGTCTGGGAAATATTAATTTTGACTTTAATAAGGACGAACACTGACGACTAGCGGAGTTGCATTGTCTGCCGACAGTCATGGCCATACCAGGAAGGCTTTTCGTTTCGTCGTAACAAGTTCTGTAATTTGTATCTGGATTACATTTGCATTAATCAGGATTTAGTAAAATATTACCCGAATGATGCTGATATTATGTTCCTTATTTAATTACTGCAGAAAGTAAACACAAAAAATGAAGTACGGTATTCAAGACAACAAATATCATTGAACCGTTTAATGTCAGTCCTACTTCTCTTGGCTAAGAAATTATTACAAGCTGTCATAAAACAAACGGTCTTGCAAAACAAATAATTTCCATTGTTCTGCCATATCTTGACATCCAGTAAAAAGACAGCTGTATACATCTGCAACATCATAACTTACAGAAGACAGGAGAAGTAAACGTTTTTACTTAAGTATCTAAAGTTTCCTTATTGACAAGACTTTTTAGTCTCCCAGCCGGAAGGAAAATTTTACGCTTATAATAAGACTCGTAGATTAATTGCCATGTACACAAGATCCAGCCTTCGGTCACTTTTCTAATATCTTATTTGAGAAGATAAAATTGATATCCTTCCATCTACATCTTGATCTACCAAACGGTCTTTTTTCTTTCTATTTTTTGAAACGTCTGCAGTTACATGTATTTATAATTGTTATTATCTGTGGTTTGTAAATGGGCAAACCACTACCAAAAATAGATATTCTGGTACGTTGCGCTGTGCAGTCTAGTGTTAGTTTATCGACGTTTTAGAAGCCTGAACTATCAGGAGGCACTACAACTCGGAAGACAACCATCTTCGTGTAATGAATTCTTCTCGGGCTACTAGCCGTGTCAGGTGGTTGAAAGGCGGAAAAACCAGAGTATCGAGGCTCACCTTCGTCCTCGTCCTCAGGGAGAAAATATTTTGTCATATTCGACACTTTGAGAATCTTAGAAAGAAGATAACATTTTTCAGCCTACTAACGTTTATGCGCAGATACAGAGACGAGCACATTATGCCAACGTGCATGAAGGTGCCATATCAGGACTATGAAGGATGCTTCAACACCTCAAAGTTCAGTTGACAGAGGCTTTCATCAGTAAGGGCGGAAGTGTGCGAACGGTCATTATCGTGCAAAATTGCGACATCTTTCGACAAAACCTAGGATGATTTCATATGCAGAATCATGACTGATGCACAACTTCATCGATAGTCACCCGTGGATTATCCACAATCATGGCACGAACTCTTTCAGTGTTTTGCTCTGTAGTGGATGTGGACGGGTGCCATGGTAGTTCTTCATCGTTGACACTTGTGCGACCGTTTGTGAACCAGGCAATCCACACTTCGCTGCGATAAAGCACTGTTTCTATGTTGTGCTAAAAGTCTGCGATTAATTTCTGCCCCTGATACAGCTTCAACCCACGCTGCTATTCTTTGGTGCATGTCCATGATAACTCTACTACAACGACACTGCAAATGACCGATCAAGGTCGAAAGTATTTCACAGGAATGTAGCGTGTTCTTGCTTCTTTCTGCCCGTAAAATAAGCAGCGCAGCCAACACAACAAGCTTTAAAACAAATAATTGCGGAAACTCTCTAATTCATCTAACTAGCTTCCTAATAAAACGCAAAATAACTGTTAAAGCAGGCGGAACGTGTAGATACCACTTCGTTTGAAAGGGCTCAAAGGTAATTTTCCATTTTGGTGGTGTCTGTTGGTATGAATTACTTCACGTTTTAAACTTGAAATTAATAGAGAATGGTTTCTGTAATTGAAGTTTGATTCCTACAAAGTGAGAGCTGTGGGTGAATTGCCATGCGTAATTACGCACATTGCAATGAATTGTTTGGGAATATGACCATTCTTCTATATGACTATAGTATTTCTGGTCCATAAAATGTTAAAATATCAAATTTTCAGAAGGGTACATTGTTTTAATTATCTATAAATATACATATATTTACTGAGAAAATTTGCTATCTTCTGAGTAAAGATATTGCTAGAATACAATTTTCAGTACGACATTAATAATGTACTTTATGCTGTTCTTACTCCACTGATGTTTAGGATGAGCTCTATATTCAGACCTAAAGAATTCTCGATGCGGTGTCATAAATTCCTAAAACATTCTTACGAGATTTCGTAGCTTCTAATCTTAAAATTTCAAGGGAAAGGAAGAAATTATGTCCTGTGTCTGCTGACTACCAGCTTTTCCTGTCTCATATTGATAGGTGTAGACTGAACTCTTCGAGACAGTCTTTTCAAATTAGCAGCTATGTTTTATTCGGTGAGCTTGTTTACTTTTAAGTAACATTCAAGATGATGCATCAGTTTGTATGAGGAGAAATAACACTTTAAGCAGCTGCATAATGCAAACCTATTCAAAGATCCAACTCATATATAGCAATATTGGGCAATAAATTACGACTTCCTGTTACTCGTCTTGATGTTATTTGCTTTATTACTCTTAACACTAACAATTTTAAATCATTGACCATATTTTATTCTGGGTTCTGATGCCGTGTAGAGTCGTAGGCAGATACCAATGTTTCGGAGATACATATTATCTTCGACCGAGTCTTCACTTCAGAAAGTTAGAACTGTGTTTTTCCAAAACTTTTGTTTTCATCCTACGAGTATATACGGCCTTACAACACACAAAAACATCGAAATCAACATTGCTTTTAGAACTTCGAAAAGTTTGACGTGACTTGACGGTTAACATTATAACCGTAATTTTATTTATAAAGCATTTAACTCATTTTACAAAATGTTCGCTGTAAATTTACAAACATTCATTGAGCTAAACATAGCGTTGTCAAATTCGTAAGCCATTATCGCAAAAGCCATTATCGCAAATTTTAATCGTAAACCAGTGTTATCATTTTTACAGTGTTGACGTATTTACGAAGATAAGTGTTATTCTGATGATGATACGTATAGTATCACTTTGTTTTTAATAGGCATGAAATATATTTCTCAATTTTACAAGTCTTTTATCATTAACACGCTTGAGTTTAAAATATACTAGTTGTGAGTTTCTATGTTAAGTCTTTCCATTTCTGAGGATTCCTTGACGACGTATCCCCGAATCTTACGCTCAACGTAGTTCCTCACGATAGGAGTAAAGAGAGCTGGGTTCATCTCTTGCAGGTTTGGTGGTTCTGTGAGCAGACTAACTATTACTCCGACTATAAATACCACAGCCATCCCAATAAAAGTGTAGTACATGAAGGAGACCCGGTACAAGATAAAAACGTCATCTGTTGCAGTATCATTCCTGAAATTAAAACATACATCTTCATTCTATACGGTGACTGGAAGAGGTATCTGTTTTGTGCTCTAAGCATAATATTCAAAATGGTCGTGTTTGCAAGATTATACTTGTGAATAAAATAACTAATTGAGTAACTAGATGGCTTACTGAACCCGAAGGTTCATCACCGAATTAACCAAGGCCATCCATCAGACCCTGTCCTGGGCCAACAAAATCCAGTCTTTTTCACCTCCCATCTCCCATAGATCCCGCCTGAGATTATCTTCCCATCTACGTCTAATTAATAACAGTTAACACTTTTGTGGGTAGGGATAGGTTCTTGTGAAGATGGCTGTCTTCTGGAATGTGTGCTTCGTTTCTTCTGGTTTATTCTGACCTACGTTTCAGAGGTGCTTACTCGTCCTGATGAAGCAGAAAGTATCTCTGAAACGTCTGTCAATATCCCTCTAACTACACGGAAAAACATCCCAAAACAAATTCATCTTCATACTCCCAACCGTGAGAACCTGAAATCCCACCAGCAGCTTTAAATATTGTCTGTATTCAGGTTGGCATAAGCGACCTACATATGCGATGAAACTCCATATTTTAAACCAAAAAGGAAACATTTCCCGTTAGAATATTCCTGATGCTTAATTTACAACACTGCAATTTACGCCGAAACTCATGCATTATTTAGACGATGTACATAACATTAACGCGTAATGGAAAAGCAGAATTTATATTCCTTTCCATGCGTTCGCATTGTCATTCTCCGGAACTGCAGACCTGATTTGGGTTTTAGTTTTGGGGCTCACTTCGAAAGTTGTCGGACGAATTTAATGTTGACTGCAGTCACTATTTTAGCTGAAGCTCAAATCAAGTTTCATAAAATTTCTCACAAATACGTCATGAATAAACTTGTTTCATTGTCCTTAACCCTCCTTGAAGTTAGAACTTGTGTTTGAATAGATGTATTGATATGGAGTGTAATTAATAAAATATATGAAAAATTATATACGACTACACACATTAAATTTATAGTGTAATCAAACAATGCATTTTTAAATTCAATAAATAAACATCAAGGCTAGCGGAGTTTAAAAATTACAAATAAAGCATACGTGTATAC